CTATTACCTGTATACGATGATTATCTTTATCAGCTACAATTATACGACGACGTGCATCAACCGCTACGCCAGCCGGACGATCAAATTGTCCTGGTCCAGTACCGTGAGAACCAAATCTTTTTATAAGTTGACCATCTTGTTTATATATTTGAATACGATTGTTCGATCTATCCGCAACAATTATGTTTCCGTCTCTGTCGCATGCTACACCCCAAGGTCGGCATAGATTATCTATTGCATTACTATTGTTGCCAATGATTCTTTGAGGTTTTATTGACAAATCGCAACTGCGGTTTGTCCTAACTATAACTGGAAAAGTGTTTGAAGGAACGGGTCTTCCTATTGCCGGATTTAATGCAACAACGGCTGTTTGCTTAAAATGAGGCGAGTTTCCACGACCTCTTACAGCTCGTCGATCGCCTATAGGTCCTGGATTGTTCACTACAATAATTCCAAAATTCGTTATAGAAGTTAACATCGATCCTTCTAATCCGTTAAAAGAGATCCAGTTCTCTTCTTGCGACGGGAGAGACTGACGACTTTGTTGTATTTGAAAAACCTGTATTCAATGAAAATAATAGATTAGATGTATGGATACATATTTTAAAATATTGAAAATGTGTGAAATTTTTGTTATTATTAAAATTTACGAATTTGCAAAATAATTTTTTTTCAAAGTTGATTTTTGTAAAAGATATTTATAGTGATTTTTGTTTCTTTATACGACTTTTAATATTAGAACTTTATTACGAAAAATATAATTAATTTGTTGGTAAAAATTCTGTGCTAAATATTAACATTTTAAAGGAATGCAAAAACCATATAAGACAATAAACTTTTGTGAATGTGTCTCTACACTTTCCTTATTTCAAAAATATTTAATTATCAAAATATTGCAAGATCAGAGAACTTCACTAAAAAAATGTAATAAAATTTCGCATTATACTTTATTATAAATAGTTAATATTCAATACATGTGTATTTATTACGATATCAATATCAAAACTGATACCTATCCGGTAATATTAAATTTTAGAAAAGCGACGTTTCATATACAATAGTCTAATAATTAAAATTATCACACAAATTAGTTGTAGTTATTTATAGTTAGTCATTAGTTATAGCCATAATAAGGATAATCAATAAAGTCAATAAAATTTTAGTAATAATGGTTTTTAGCAATATTGCTAAGATTTTAGTAATTAGTAGTTGTTAGTAATAAAAAATTGAAAAATATAAAAATTTGATTTATCAATACCTCTGCCGAAGTCATGTCTTTAGTAAGCAACAGGTTCAATGGATTGCTAGTCAAAATATTTGATTCTATAGCTCCGTTAAGTTTATCAACAGCTAGAGATAATCGAGTCAATCCATTCCGAAGTCCTTCATCTCTTGCTTTTAGCGCAGCGAATTTTAAAAGCCTTGCTTTTTCAACTTTACCTAATAATTCTTTTTCTCTTGCCTCTAAGGCAGAAGTTACTCTTCTTACGCACAACATTACATCTGTAGTTGCTTGTCGCGCTTTCTGCTCTAATATTTCTATCGCCATCTGTAAGATAAACGATATATTTTTTATTAGTATATCAGTGAAGGTTATTATTATTTCAGCAAATTGTTTTAACTTTTCTTTGAAAGATTTTATCTAATTATATTTTAATACAGATATTAATAATATTAAATATTCCTAATGCAAAGTATTGATCAATTAATAAATCAACTTCTCAAAGGATTTTTTAAAGAACATTACAAAATATTTCTATAATAATAACAAACATCTATAATAAAGAAAACATTTCTATAATAACATTAATAATATTATTATAAGAAAACATTTCTATAAAAGAAATGCTACCTGTGTAGCATCTAATTCTTCTCTAAGAGCTGAAATTCCAATCTTAGCTTCGTTCAGTATTTCTTTTGCTTGAGTGCTAGCAACTTCAACGGCTTCCATGAAATTAATCATAATATGTCCTGGATGTTGGTGAAATCCACATTTAACACAGATAGGTCTGTTACAGGTTTGACAGTAAAATTGCGGAGCATCATGATGAATCTTGCAAGGCATAGGTAAAGTTTGAAAATTGAAACTTGGATTATTGACAATTGGAGGATTCATTATTTCTGATGCATTATGCGAATTGTAGTCACCGTTTGGTATATTCTGTATAAGAAAAAGAAATAATTTTTTTTTTAGCATGTTTATAATATTTTCCTATTTGTATACGTGGTTAAAATTAAATTTAATTATTTTATTAAATAATTTCCTTTTTAAGTTATTATACTATAATTAAATTATAGGAAAAATAATATTTGCAAATATTATTTTTAATATTATTACTATATTTTGATTAATATACTCCTTTGATAACAGATTATATTGAAGTCTGAGTGTTTTATTAACTGTTAGTAAAAATATTACAACGAATTTTAAATGAAAAATTACATATAGAATGTGTTCAACTATTTAGGAGAGATTAATCAAAATATACTTACAAAAAGTTGATTTGTAGAACATGAAGTACAAACCGCGTCAGCACAATCTTTACATCTACTATGAATGGAATTTCTGACTTGTGAAAATTGAATATTGCGAGAAGTCGGTCCATTGAAATCGCCATTCACTACTTGTAGTATAGTACTAACTAACGAATCTACACCAAGCTCGTCTGATTGAGTTTGATAATTACTGTCCTCAGATGATCCAGTGCCCGGTGAACTAGCATTAGAATTGTTGGTAATTGGCAATGGAATCATCTGCGTCTATATGTAACGAACCGAAGAATATATAAGTATAATAGAATAAAAATTCTGTATTTCATAATTAATCACAGCAGTATAAAGTATTTAGGCAGTACAAAGTGTTGCAATATGAAGAATTTAATAAATTAATAATTTAATGTTTTAAAATTAAGAAACAAACTTCGTACCTTACAGGACAGATTTGCATTCATATTTGATTCCGTTGCTGGAATGTCTTGTGGGAACTTTCCAAAAAATTCTGTTCCATGATTATAATTTTTATCATGATCCATTGTAAAATAGGCGTAAATTAATACTGTACAAGTTCGATATGGAACAGTTGCTTTGATGTGACAGTTTTATCTGGAACAAAAATGATCTAAATTAAACCTGATTTTAAAATTAATGCAGTTTAGTCGACAGATGTTTTCCTTTCTATTATTCTTTTCTTCAAAACATATTCATTCTGGACGAAGTTTGAATAATGATACTATTTCATTTTTTAAATAGAAATATAAAACTTGTAAAAAGAAGAAATTGAATATAACTCTCATGCAATATATAAATCATTATAATAATGTATGAAATTCCTTAAAGATATTATCGTATCATTAAATATTTAATAATTTAATAAATCATCAAATCAAAATCATCATTATGTAATCATTCTATTTTTACATGGACCCATTGCAACCCTAAAGGTAACTATACTCTGATTTACATTCGATTCCTACGTAAGTATGTCATGATAGTGTAAGATTCTATATGTATAAAATACTTTAAAAAAATTGATAATGTTCATTTCTTTACAAATTTAAAATAAAAATTCATTTCTGGAAAGTATTTTTACTTTGAAATATAGATATATAATATTGAACTAGTCGGAAGACTACTATAAATCAAAAAAAATAAAAAAAAAAAACGATCGATTGAAGCAATGATATTGAAAAAAGAAAATTATGAAGAGAAGTAACTGCACTCTATTTTATCCTTTTAAAGATCATTGCGATTTGATTGATCGCTTTTTTTTCTCGTTCGTATGTTATAGCAAAGTGATTTAAAGAAGTCCATCAAATCCCAAGATGGAGTGATCTTCCCACAAGCTCAAAAATTTTATTTCAATTTTGTTTCTCTTATAATCTTTTAATGGAACTTCAGGCAATATGTATATATGTATGTAACATTTTTTCTTTATTTAAATCTTTATTCAAATCTTAGAACACATTAGTAAATTTTGATCAGAAAAAGCTGGGATATCTTATGCATAATTTGAAAAATTAATGCATCAATAAATGTATCAATTGTCGCCTATGACAATATAAATATTCGATATTTGCAATGTCATAATTGGCAACCAGATAACATAAATTCATAGGGAAGTCAACGGAAAAGGATTTTGAATCGCACGGATGGCCCCTTGATCCAGTTTCAAAGACGTAACACCCCTACACAGCTGGTTCAAGGTCATCGTGCGAGTCCTCAACAGGGAAGAACCGTGATACCCTTTTCAGTTTGGGGATCGAGAAATAGGGTTCTACTTCCATCGGTGGGACCTGGCCAGAAATCAATAACAGTAGGAAATTCAACATAAATACATATCGCCGTTTATGTGATTCGAAATCAGTCAGAGTGTAATCGTAACTTTCTCTATCCGTTAATATACTATTGTGATAACTTGAAATATCGAGACTTCCATTCGACGACATCTCCAATTCGTAATTTTATTTCATTTAACATCTATCGAATTTTGAGCTTTGTCTCTAATTCATGGCAAATGATTTGAATTTTTTTCTAGTAGATATAGTGCAATTATTTGATTGAAGAAAAGTAATAAATTAAACGATAAAAAGGCAAGAAATTTTGTCTATATTTCTTTAATTATTAGTTGATATATTTATTACTATGTTATTTTGTATAATACTTGTATCACTACTATTAAGTAATTTATAGTACAGACTATCGAAATTGATGCGAATTTCGTGCCAGTTTAAAAGGTACTTTTCTGATTGCATCAGAAGTTAGGAATTACATATATTATGTATAATTTCATAACATGAGATTGTACAATTACTTACGGCAAAAATGAAATAAAATTAATAGTTTAAACGAACTACTTGGACTAATATTAATACATGAATATTTACATTCGTATCACCGGAAATATTTAATACGATTCATCGTAATAATGACAACTTATACTTTTTAAAGGATTTGTGGCAAATGTATTTTGTATAGGTTGTGCTATAACATTTTTAACTAAATTAAAAAAAATTTGGTGATAAATATTGTCAAGAATAATATATAATATAATAATAGTAATAATATTTTCTCTGTAAATTATATTCCAGATTATACATAAAATTTAAAAGTTATGTTATGCGAATATCCATGTTACGATTAGTTATCAATGCTGTATGATATAGTATAAAATTTTATATATTATAAACTATATTAAAATACTTTATTTTACCGTAAATTCACATGAAGTAGAAAAAATTTCTCAATAAAAATAACATTGTTTAAACAAAAATTGAATCTTCGAAATTCTTTAATTTAATACATATATTTTGATATTAATATCGTTGGCTATTATTATGCAAGAAAAATGGCTTTAGTTTATGAAGATAAAATCTTCATAAATATAAAACCTCATACAACGAGTTCAATACTGAAGCTGAATGAAATTTTGTCAACATTTGTTTTGCAAAGCTTCGTTAATTAATTTTTAATTGTGTGCATTCTACTACATTCGTATAACTTGTTAATTAATACATTACTCTTTTAGAAAATACTCTTTTAGAAAATATGTTTGGAAGTTTGATAAAATTCGATTCATTAGATATGATATTCGTTTAACTATAATTAATAAAGTATTAACCATAAAGTATGTAGTTAAACATTCTTTCAAGTAAATGTGTTTCTCTCTAATTATATTTCAAAAATTTAAATTAAAAACGTCAATCATGGGACATATTTATTATACAAAATGACTTATAAATTTATGTAAAAAGCTAAGTTTCTTAGCTGTTTGTTAAGGTTTTAGGATAATATCATGTTTTCCAAATATTTCGGCAAATGTAGAACTGAATTACTCTTAAATATTAATTGTTTACTAATAACTTGCTCGATAATTTATCGAAAATTTCAATTCTAATAACCAGTAAACTGCATGAAACTAATTGTAAATATATTATTGAGTACATTTTAATTAAATCAAAAAAAATTTGATAAAAAGAACTTTACTTTAAAAAACATAAAATGACTACCGATAAATGTAATAAAATATTTTCAGTGTTATATTTATATAACAATTTTGTTATACTTCAACATCCTGTAAACACGTTTCATGTTTATAAATATTTCTTTATGGATTAAATGTAACATAATTATTCTATAATTAATGAGAGTATGAATAACATTATAGAGATAATATGCATTTAATACACCAAATTAGTTATGAATATTCATTAACCCATTTACTTTTTTACAATATTTTGTTTCTTTATAAAAATTATTAACATATAAAACGTAGTGATTTTCAGTATTTGAGAAATATATTAATACTATGTATTAGTAAATTTTTTTTTTTTACTAAGAAACTGTTTTTTAAAATTTTACAAATTAGAGACGTAGTTCCATCTTCACTGCTAAAGACATAACAAATAGAACTATATATTTATTAATTTAAAAAGCATAGTTCCGTGACCAAATGTATTGCATGACCTGTGAAGTCTTCATACGTTTATATCACTAAATAATATCCCAAATTATATTTATCAAGTACGAGTATAAAATTCGAAACAGAATATTTTTAGCAAAGGAAGATTTATCATCTTCTCATTGAAATTTGAGGAGAAATAAGAATTCACAATACAGAAAGTAAAAATATATCTTTCCATAATTTTTGTATATTTATATTAATTTCAATATATAAAATCAATAACGTAATGAAAAATGATGCAAAATTTATTGTTTTAATGTTTAAATGTCCAAAAATGTTCAAAAACTCTTCCGAGTCAGAAGTGGTCAGAATCACAGATGGCTTTTCTACGAAGGATATTTGGTTTACTACAGTTTCGGCCGAAACGCTTACACTTTGGCCTGCAAACTTTCCCTTTTTCCGTTTTTCCAGCAGCTGGCCTGCAGCAGTTAGGGGGTGCTATCCTTGAAATTGCCATGACGACCAAGGTTAGACCTGCTATTCTTTTCAGGGGTCGAAAAGAAAGAGAAAGTGAAGTATCTGTCATTTTCTAAGATCCTTTCCAGAGACGGGTAGACAAGAAATGCTAAAGAATCGTAAACGCGGATAGCAAGGAGCTACTATATATCATACATTATTCTGTGAGGCTAAAAAATTCATTTTTAAAATTTGAAATTACATTAAAAACGTGACAAAGAAACGGATGGGGAGAAAATTATCAAGATTGCCTATTTGGATTACTAGATACACATGTACAGTATATTTTTTTTTGTAGAAAAAACGTTCAGAACTATGTGTTTTCTAAAATTATTATATATTTGTCTTCAGAATTTTGCATCATTTTTTATAGATTAATTTTATATGTATGTATTCTATATTTGTAAATGAGATACAAAAATTTTTATTTTTGGTAAATTAATTAATAAATAAATTAGAATAAATATTAATAAACTACTGCTTTCTAAATTTGCTCTTAGCAATAAGCGAAATTATAAACAGTTGTTATTTTAATTTGAAATTCATGTTCTATTATTAAAATTTTCTATATTGATTGTATGAATATTTTAAAGGCTATCGTGCTTGAAGTGTAGCAAAAAATAACAAAACAACGGTAAACGCTGAAAGACTACTTCTCCACCTTGGATTTTGATGGGATTTTTTTTAAATCGCTTTATCATAACGTACAAATATAAAAGAGTACAATAACAAAAAGAATAAAAAAGCAAGACCGGTTGAATTGCAATGATCTTGAATTGCTCTTTTGTTTATATATTAGTAATATTATATATTATATACTAAAGCGATAATATAGTCTACGAAAAAAAAATAGCTTGTTGATTAATTATATCATATTTTATTTTTTTCAAGGTCATTGCGGTCGAACCGCAATATTTTTATTTTTACCATTATTTATACGTTGTAACAAAATGATTAAGGAAAGTTTCATCAAAATCGGAAGTGGCTCTTCACCAATACAATAAACAAACTCATAAATTTTTACTATTTACAATCTTAATAAATGCTACGTATATGTCAAGAAGAATAGCTGAATATATGAATTACATTTTTAGTTACAATATATTAAAAATTGAAATAGAATAAATACTATAAATAAACAAAGCATAAATATAACTCGAAACAGTTTTATAACAAAAGAGATTTATTTCATAAGAGAAAGCACATGCGCGCGAGCATCTATTGAGCATTATGTAGGTATACATACATCATTAAAATATAAATTGTTCATAATTTCAGTTTACTATACTATCCACCTCAAATTTTTGAAATTTCCTATAACACAATCCATAATTCAATTTGTTCATTTAAAAAATTTCTCGTATTCAAATTATATTAAACAATAAACTGTAAAGTTGTATAAAGAAAAAGAATGGTTATAAATCGTAATATAAATCTGTTGCACTATAGCATTTTTGTTTGAATAATAGTTGTAAAAGTTACGAAAAGTTCAAGTATCATATAGATGCACTTAGCGGACCAATGAAAACGAATAGACTTTTCAAATTTCATTTTCATTGTCGTTGGACAGCGCCGTCGTAGACTTTCCCTCTCGTTCGGATTTCAATGTCGTCCAAGAGAAGCACTTTATGACACAAATACGGGAATGTAAACGAACACATGTTCGACCCGAGTCGACAAGCAACTGCCAAGTTTCTAATTACAGTTCTATGCCATTCTATTCGACCATAACAATTGTAATAATACCTTTAAATTGACTGAGAATCAAGAAATCGATGAAATCGTTTTTACTTTCGTTTCATTGCGGGCGTATGTCCTCGAAAGCATCGTTTATGCTTTTTATCTAACAATTAATCCATTTAAACAATTAAAAATAAACAAAAAAGAAATAAAAGAAATTAGAAATGTCAAATACGTTGAAGTATTAAAACAAAGTAAATACCTTTTAATGAAAAATTCTTGTCCAATAAGAAGGAAGTATTAAGTGTTTTTCACCACTGAATGCCAGACGATAGTAATTAAAGAAAAGAAAAAATAAATAAAAAAAAAAAAA